CGCTCCTCCTCCCGGGAGGGGCCGCCGCGCCGGTGGGGGGCCGGGGGCGCCCGAGCCCCCGCAGCCGGCTCAGCAAAGCCCGGCTCCACAAAGCTCGGCTCGGTGAGGCTCGATAGAACCGCGCTCGGGGGCACCGGGGGCCCGGGCACCGCCCCCCCGGGGTCTCCGGTGCCGCGGCGAAAGTGGGCACAAGAGGAAATCAGGCTGGGATCATCTCCCCGGGGAGGCCTCGCAGATGGGGAACAGGAGGTGGTAACCTGCCATCGGGGGGAGCTCCTGCGTGACCCCTCCAAAACCTGGCTGATGGCACCTTAAAACTGCTGCTCAGCTCACTTTTGGGGGAACGACTTTCCCCTTCAGAGCAAGTCCGTCCGTTCAGCTCCTTATGCTTCACTCAACAGTAACAGCAATAAGCGTGACGGGTGGCGTGTTTCTGCTACGTGTTAGAAAAGGTTGGTAGATACTTCCTAGCTCTCTAATAGCTCTTCAACTGCTAAACTTTACAACTGTCTTTTAATAGATGCTTTTGTTAATTATGCAGTCAGGTTTAGAAGTTAAACACAAATTCTCTAAACCACAGGAAATTTCTAGTACATCACCATTTGCACAAAATTAAAATTTAGGAACTTTAAGGAAAACCCTTGAAACATTCCAGGCCAGGTTGGACGGGGCTTTGGGCAACCTGGGCTGGTGGAAGGTGGCCTTGCCTGGGGCAGGGGGTGGCACTGGGTGGGCTTTGAGGTCCCTTCCAGCCCAAACCATCCTGTGATATAAAAGCATCTTCCGAGCAGCACTGGAAGAAGCCCCGTAGCTTCTTACTCCCCTCTCTGCCCCTTACTCAGCAGCGTTATCTGCCCACACCACATGTACCAGCATTGCTGGGTTTTGTTGGCACCGGAATTTTTCCCACCAGGGCCCGAATGCAGGTGGCACCTCCTGCCTCTGGTGCTTTTCTGTCTTTTCTGTTCCTCAGAGATCAGCGGGTTGGACTCGTGGCGCGTTGCTGTGGCTGGTGAAGACCTGCCAAGATCCCTGTTCTTGCAGAATCAAGAAAGCCAATGAAGCGCTTCACGCTTGTTTCCACACACGCATCAGTGCTCATTCTCTGGGGATGGTGCACTGACAATCACATTTTCACTCCTCAGACGTCTTCCCTCTTGCTTCCACGGGCAGAGCCTACCCCGCTGTTTTGGTGATACAGCCACGTTTTGGGACGTAAACCTGCCCTCTCGTGATGACTGTAAGAAGAGACTGAAACTACAGCGGGTCAGACATTTCTGAAAAAGCCACCACCAATCTGCACGTCAGGTAAAATTGGCATATTTATGGCATTTCAGTAGGCACACTCTGCCTGACCTGGCCCCAGTGTCTCGCCATTGCCTGCTTAGCGCAGCAGCTGACAGTCTTGGCGCGATGCTTTCTCCTCAGAAAGAGGGGACTCTGCTCAATCAGTGTTCTTCCAGGGGAAACAGGTGAGAACAGGCTTCTGGAGTATCTGTGAGAGTCCTTGGCAGAGGTAGCTAAAGTCAGGGAGAGGGATTAATCATATACAGTGAGATTAATTTATTGGAATGGCAAAATAACCCAGACTGAGACTACACGGAAAAATGAAAACTATCCACAGCATGACAGTATTTTTCATGTCAACTAGACCTCAGAATACTTGGGAAAAAGTAACAGAGCCAGGTATTACAGTGGTATTCGCGTGGACACAGGGTGTGTTATTATTTGAGTCTGGTTAGGGTCACTAACAATTATTCTTAAGATTAAAAATGACATTTTTATTTCATTAAATCATTAATAATGAGAAGCAAAACATGAACAATTTAGTGAATTCTTGCACATGAACTCAAAATTGCTTTCTTTTTGCAGGCACGGTTAGATCACTGCAGTGGCTGGCTGATAAATTATTATTTCTTGGACTAGTTTGATGACTAAACATCCTATTATGAGCTAATGCTGTGCTTTCTTTGCAAACAGCAAATGTATAATTGGAGCGATGATGGTAAGATAAATCTAAGAGATAAGATAAAGCCTCAAAAATATCTTTTAAAGGGTCTAAAAAATGATCAGAAAAAATCAAACAAGTGAGGAGGTGATCTAAATCCATAAAGTGACTGTGTGTGCTTAGTGAAGAACAGCATGACTACCTGGTACTTAAAAAAATGAACGTACTCAGAAATTGTGAAATGTGACGGGCTCTGGGGAGTTCAGGACGTTGGTAGTGACGTGACTGTCCGTGTCTGCCAGCGAGAACCTTACCGGGGTGCTGTGGGGCGGCGTTGGTTATCACCCCGGTGGCTGTCTGTGAACCACCGTGCTCTCTTTGTTTGGTTCAGGTGCCCAGAAACGCAGCCCTGCTTGTGCTGCCCGGCACCTGGGCCCTCAGAAAAACAGCAGTCTGGAGTGAGCGCTGCGCTCAGCTGCGTGCTGACATCTTCAGGCGCTACCCTGAGAACAAGGGAAAACTTGAGAGATCCCTCTGTCCCTGAGCCGACTGGATTCTGTTCCCCTCAGCGATCGAGAGAGGATTGCAGGGCTATCATTAGTCACGTTTTCTAAATCGTAATTACAGTCTGAAGGGCAAAGGATGACTTGCTTTCATGAGTAATTTTCTCTCTACTGCATTACTGAGGCCAAGTCTTCTGGGAGTGACACATTCCAATGTAGTTTTTTGTGGGTGTAAACATGAGGTAAAAGACATTTTTTAAATGGTTTGTAGTAGTCTCCATAATTTGTGGTAGAAAAGGGACTGAAGTGTCTCTGAGAACATTTTCCAAAACCACATACTTGAAAATCTGCATTAAAATTAACAAAATACTAATTTAAAAGTACAATGTACCTTGTCAAAGTTTTAAGAAAAGAGTATTGACCTAGGAATACAGTATGGGTATCGTAATTAAAACCCAGCTCTTACTATGCTTCTGAGAAACAGTATTAAATTACAAGAAATACAAAGTTCTCCTTCCAGAAGGTTGCTGAAGAACATGTGGAATATTTTACATTATAATGTGGTTGTGATTTAATGGGGCTGCCTTAGAGAGAATACAGTGGTTCTACAAACCCACGCTGATCTCTCTGCTCTGCTGGCAAATTCTGGCACATGTCTGATCTTAAAAGACACTGCTTTAGATGGAATTCATTATGCTGGGGAGAACCAAGGGAGCTTTTTGTTAAGCGAAACTGTATTGTGGGAAGAAAGCATGGCTGAACGTAAACTCAGTAGTGCTAAGAGGAGGAAAGTGAATGGAGAAAGTACTTTCAAACTGGGTCTTCACAGCAAATCCCCCATACCAGGACCCGAACACGATCTCAGGGGGGGTTAGCAGTTCAGTTCTGTTTACAGGACATAACCAACCTGGTGGAAGCGAGGAGGCAAGGCCCGTTGCCCTGCAGCTCGTGTGTAGAGTCGCTCTTCGAAGCGTAGTTCAGAGCAGGCAGGTCACATTCATCAATTCATGTTTGTGTGGCTTTTGCTGGCATCCAGCTTTCAGCCCCGAGGCTGAGCGGGGTCTGAGGGCAGCTGGACTGGCTGGCAGCGGGGACCCGGGGGACACACCAACACCGGGGGGTCTGCGGGCACAGGGGGACCCGTGTGCTGGGCGAGCGGCCGCGACTTGCCCAAAAGCACCTGCCTGTCCGTGGTGGCACAGGGAAACGACCCAGCTCCTGAGCCCTGGTTCGGAGGTGGTGTAAAATCATCGTTCCCAACCTCAACACCGAGAACTTTAGTCAGGCAAAAATACTTTCCAGTCAAGTCTAGGCCCTGGTGCGGCGTGCTGCTCAGTTTATGAAGTATTTCAGCATTACTTACGACTCCATCCTTGAAGCAAGCCAGGCCTACAAAGTCAAATACACAAAGACTGTTTGAGTGCGCGCACTAATCCACCCTGCATCGGA